GAGGAGATCCAATGTATTTTGTCCTTTGGTTGCTGATCTTTGTCAATTCTATTAATATACAGTTGTTTCCATGGAGAACTGACTATAATGACTAGCCAAGTGCCTTCCTCAATTTTATTTCAACTGTGATATAATAAACTGCTTATTCAGTTAGCATATCTGGTCTCATTTCTCCCTTTGAAGAGAATAAGTGGTTGTGATTCCTTTGACGGAGAGCAAACAGACTGAAGCTCTCAGATTAAGGACTGGAATTATTTCTCTCAGAGGGTAAAATGGGCAGTATAATCCTGAACGTCTGGGTGCTTAGCTTGACCCTGTGCTGCCCAGTGTCAGCAGGCCCAGCATCCTAGTACCAGCCGCCTGTGCTGCGGCTCCCAGCTCCAGGCCCTCCATGGGGCTCCGGCTCTACCTCCTCTTCTGGCCCCCAAACGTGGCCATTCCTCAAGGCTCAGCCTTCAGAGCTGCCTCTACACGCGGTCCCAGGCCTTCTTCAAGGCTCCCACCTGCACTACGCCAGTCGTCAGCTCTCTCAGCCTCTGGGCCCTGTCAGCCCAGACACACCGCATCCACTGAAGCTTCATGTGTCTGCAGCACAGGAGCACCTTCTCTTCGGGCTGCTCACCCCTCTGGACTGTATGTCTGTATGTCTACGTTCTCCCACGCACCCCGCTTCAAGCCCGAGTCTTCCTTCTCCTGCTCCCTGACAGCGAAGCAGCCTACCATGCCGCCTCTGACCCAGCCCAGTAGCACCACCACTTACCCCTCTTACTGCTCTGCTCCAATCCCATTAAATACTCCCTGCTCCCTAAAGGCTAAACCCTGCCACTCAAAGCCCTCCCTAATCTGACCCAATCTGTCCTTCCACCTCATCCGCTTCTACTTCTCTTGCCAACTCTCTGCTCCAACCACACGGTGCTACCCAGTTTCCGACACATCCTGTTTTTATCCCGACCTCTCCATGGTTGCGCATGCCATCCCACCTCCCTGGCCAGTCCCTTCTTTTCCATCTAATGATGACAGTAGCCACCATTTACTGGCCTGTGTAGGAAAGCACCCTTCCTCCGGTTAATCTCACCTCCTTCACTAACCAGCCCCCTTTCGTCCATTTCTGAAGCACCTGTCTCTACCATTTCCTTGACCCTCAATCATTCATCCCAATTGCTCAGATGATATACATTCCTGTTCCAAATCCCCACATCCCCCTCCTAAAGTATAAATACAAATAATGAGCACCCACAGCGGGCCAGGTGCTCAGCTAAGCATCAGAGTTACAATGAAGGGGGGAAAAGACAAAGTCCTGGGAGTGCCTCACAGAACTCAGGGGTAGGCCCAAGAGGTTGGTAATGACTAATTAAAGAATTATATTCAAGGGGCACCTGGGTGGCTCAGTTGTTTAGGCATCTGACTCTTGATTTTGGCTCAGTTTGTGATCTCAGGGTGGTAATATCAGGCCCTGCATCGGGCTCTGCGCTCAGCAAAGAGTCTGCTTGAGGATTCTCTCTCCCCTTCTCCCTCTGCCTTCAGGGGGAAAAAAAAAAAAAAGGAAAGAACCGGGGCGCCTGTGGGTGGCTCAGTTGGTTAAGCGTCTGCCTTCAGCTCAGGCCATGGTCCCAGAGTCCTGGGATCGAGCCCCACATCAGGCTCCCTGCTTCTCCCTCTCCTACTCCCCCTGCTTGTGTTCCTTCTCTGTCTCTCTCTCTGTTAAATAAATAAAATCTTTAAGAAAAAAAAATAATTATATTCAATAAGTGTGCCCTTTCAACTGTGCTAAATTCTACAAAGGAAAAGTCCTGAGGGCTAGGAAAACACCTAACAGGGAGAAAAGGCCCTCATTAGGTTGTTCAGGGCAGGCTCTATAGGAGGGATAAGTTCTTCTCTGGGTAAACTGCCTTCTCTCTCTGCACGTCCTGAGCTCCTGAAAGCCTGCCTCATTTGCCCTCTTTGTGGTTTTAGCACATGGTGTAACACGTGAAGGAGTCCAGAAGTGACTCTGGTGGAAGAAGGGGAGGACTTGGGAGCAGGAAAGCATCTGATCTAGAAACTGAGCCAGAGTCAGAACACCCCAGGGGGCAGCCCTGGGTTCAAATCCCAGCCCTGCTACTAATAAGCTCTGGGCACATTACTTAACCTCTCTGTGCCTCTGGACTGACCATCTCCCTCATGGAGTGGCCACGATGACATGTGTAAGTATATATGCAAAGCCCTATGCAGGCCTAGTACGTGAAAGCACCCAATAAATAAATGGCAGCCTCTGTCATCATTACCATTTGTACTATTGTTAGAGGACTCAAAGGCAGGAAATGAGCTCTGAGAGTTGTCTATCAGGTCATCAAGTTCGGGCCAACTCACTACTGAGACTTCTGAGTCTGGATCTTCTATGGTCTACAAAGGAGATGCACCCAGAAGGGTCCCCCGAAAGCAGGGGAGGCTCTTGCCAGGCCACGGAACTACCCAAAATTTGCTCTGCCTGAGGTCTGACTTCCTGCTCGGACTGACCTCACGCTTTAAGGCCCCAAGAATCTGAGGCAAAAGAGAAACTAAGGCCAAAGGTCATCACAGCCACTTCCTAGTTTGCCTGGCACTTCAAACAGGACACACAAAAGAATGCTTCATCTTTCCAAGTCTGGCCTCTCTCTTCTTCGTCCGGCCATCTCCATCCATCCTCTTCCGACTGGGGGCAAGAGGGCAGAGTGCAGGGTGTGCAGCAGGCAGAATAACAACCCGCCAAAGATGTCCAACTCCTCATTCCTGAAACTATCAACAGGTCAAGTTACACGGCGAAGAGAAATTGAGGCGGCAGTGGGGTTAAAGCTGCCACTCACCTGACCTTAAAACAAGGAGATTTTCCTCGATTATCTAGGTGAGCCCAATACAATCACAGGCCTCTTTAAACATGGAGGAGGCAGCAGAAGTCAGTGTCAGAATGGTAAGATTTGAGAAAGACTCAATTGGCCACGGGTGGTTCTGAAGACGGAAAAAGGGCCATGAGCCAAGAAATGTAAGCAGCCCCTAGAAGCTCGAAAAGGCACCAAAATGGATTTGCCCTCAGAGCTTCCAGAAAGGAATTCAGTCCTGCTGAAACCTTAATTTTAGCCCAGTGAGACCCATTTTGGACTTCTGTGCTCCAGAGCTGTAAGATAATAAATCTGTGTTGTTTTAAGCCACTAAGTTTATGGTAATTTGTTATAGAAACAACAGAAACTAATATACAGAGCTAATGCAAATAAACACGAATATACTGTTCTCTCCCTGGGGCTTTAGGGCTTCAGAAGCAGTGCCGAGAGTCACAGTGGGGGCAGCCGTGCTTTTTACGCAAGAGGCTTTAATAAAAGAATGCTTAAAATACTTCTTAAAAGGCACTGGTGTAATAGAAAGAGTTTGAGGTTGGACAGAACGTGATCCGGTCTGTTTATCAGCCATGTGATCTTTCCATACGTTCCTTAACTCCCCTGGGCCTCAGGTCTTCATCCATCAAAATCAGGATGACCACCTCCCAGGAGGTGAAAGCTCTGAAAATTAAATGGGGCAATGGGGAGGACAGAGCTTGGCCCCGAGGAAGCAGTCAGTAAACAGCTCCTCTTCCAGCCTCCTTCCTTCTACAGAGTCTTCTCTAAAGAGTAGGCACAATCACAGAAGATCCTATCTCATTCCCCTCCCCTATAAACGCAAAAGGATCAAGAGGAGGAGAATCCCACCTCCCTCAGTCCACCCAAGAAGTTGGGAGTCAGGCTGAGGCCCCATTCGCTCATTCATTTATTCAACAAATCTTTCTTGCATGGCCAGAGCCAAGACGGTGAGCAAAACGGACCAGTGTCAACCTTCACGGAGCTTACATGGCTAGCAGAACCAACGTGCATCAAATGCCAGGCAAACAAACACACCGCTCCATCAGGGATGGCTACGACGGAGAGGTATGCAGGAAGTCAGAGAGGTTTTGGAGAAAACAGTGAGTGAGCTGAGAGCTGAAGAACGAAGAGCATTAACTGGATGACAGAGGGAAGACAATTCCAGGCAGAGGGATAAACAGCAAAAAGGCCAGATGGTGGAAGGGAGTGAGGCCTAAATGAAAGAAGGCCAGCGAGGCTGAGCAGCAGAGAGAAAGGGGAAGAAGGGAAGGAAGGGGAAGAAAATGACTCTCTGGTTCAACTGGATGGGTGGTGGGTTCCACTCCCCAAAACAGGAAATACAGGAAGAGGGCCACACTGGGAGGGGGAGATCATGAGGTCAGCTTTGGGTTTAGGGTACCTTTGGGACACCCAAGCAGAGCTATCAGTGGGCATCTGGATATACAGGATATGTAAGTCTGGAGTTTATAGGTAACCTCTAGGCTAGGAGTGTGAACATGGTGCCGCGTGTGAGCAAGCGCGGCCGGAAGCAGGGAGGTAGGCCTGGGTGAGACCACCCACCAGAGGGACAAGTGGGCCTCTGACAAACATTTAGCACCCAAGAGCTGGAAGGAGGCTGTGAAGGCAGCTCGAAGGAGCAAGTGGTCTGGGAAGTCAAGTGTTACAAATGACATCACACAAGGGAGCAGAGTGTATCCAAGAGCAAGACCGTAAGACTTCCTAGGATGCCGCCTGACTGATGGGACCCTGCTTGCCTGGCTGCATGACGATCCTGGGGAGGCCTGATGTCCAGGAGGTAAGGCCTATTAGATATGCTCCTGGAGGGCCCTGGGAAGTAAGTGACTGAGATATTAAGAGGCTCAACCACCTCCTAGGGAAAAACAAACAGAAGAGCAGAGATCCACTGTATCCAACAGCCTGGCCTCAGAAAGTGGCTCAAACCAGAGCACAGAAAAAAAGCAGATCCTGGCCTGGACACGTGCTCTGTCCCCAGACTGGTTAAATATGTATAGCTTGAAAACGAGGGCAATACTGGAGACCAGACACCAGGGCACAGGGCAGGGGGGCTCCCCCTCTTCCACAGGTACCCAGATGGCAAGGCCCCCGGGCCGGGGCCTCCAGTTACAACAGTGACCGAGGACCGAACTCACTTACCTGGTAAAACTCCTGGACCTTGGACTCTGTCTGTCTCCTTTTCCTGCTCGTCCGCCCGCTCTGAGTTCTCAACCACCTGATCCAACTCCTCACTCAGCTGGAGGGGGAGACAAAGAGGGCGAACCGGTCAGCTACATCAGCCCTGCTAGTTAGGGCTAGAAGAGAAAGCAGAAACTGTCTCTCAATGGACACACACACACACACAGTCACATGATGCAGGGTGTGTTATACCAATTCTACAGATGAGGACACTGAAGCTCGGAAAAGTCACGTGACTTCCTGTGTGTTGGTTTCCCAGGGCTGCTGTAACAAAGCATCACAGCGTGGCTCAAAATAACAGAAGTTGATTCCCTCACAGTCCTGGAAACTAGAAATCTGAAATCAAGGTGTTGGCAGGGCTGGTTCCTTCTGAGGGCTGTGAGGAAGAATCTTCTCCATGGCACTCTCCTAGCTTCTGGTAATGGTGGGCAAGCCTCGGTGTTCCTTGGCCTGTAGATGCATCTCATCTCCAATCTCCACCTCCATCTTCATACAGAGTCTCTGTGTGTCTCTGTGTCTCCGCATGGTCATCTTCTTATAAGAACACCATATTGGGTAAGGGCCCACCCTACTCCAGGATGACCTCATCTTAACTAATTACATCTGCAATGACCCTATTTCCAAATAAGGACACTTACTGAGGTACTAGGGGTTACCACTCTTCACACATCTTTTTGGAGGGACACAATTCAACCACACTTTCCATGGCCATAGAGCCAGAAGTCAAATCCAAGTTGGTCTAGTTCCAAAGCCTATGACCTTAACGGCTTCCCAGAGGAGGAGGAAACGCAGCTAAGAGTCTGCTGAGAGACAGGAGGAAAACAGTGAAGTTGGTGTCAGAGCTCTCCAGGACTCTGGCTCATGTCCACCAACTCAGGCTGCAAAAGGCAGAACAAAATGGGGAGGGCGGTCCATCCCAGAAACAGATGCTGATTAACAGCCTGGTGGCAGGCAACTTCAGCCTCCCCTCATTGCGTTCTCACCTGGCAAACGGGGGAAATGCCACTGAGAAGGATAGGGAGCAAAAAGGATACAATGATAAGCAACAATTCTCATAGCATTGAGGAGGAAGAGGGCAACAGAGATCAAGACCAGAATTCAGAGGACCTATCACTGAATTAGGAGGGAGGGAAAGGGGATAGCTTTCCTAAGTATTTTCTTAGGTTCACAGTGTCAACACTTAGGGTCTCAAAACATTTTCACGAAAAATTAATCTCCAAGAGACTTGGGTTAAAATAAAACTCTCATGTAGCTAATGGTCTTCCATCTCTCTCTCTTTTTTTTTTAATTTTAGTTTTAAGTAACCTCTACACCCAACATGGAGCTTGAACTTACAATCCCGATATCGAGAGTCACATGATCTACCAACTGAGCCAGCCAAGTGCCTCCATCTTCTTTCTCTGCCTTCACTCCTGCCCCTTAGAATCAGGTAAAACCTCCAGTTTAAAGTCCTCCAAGCTCACAAGAAAACCAACACGTGGGAGAAGGCGGGGAGGCTGGAGAAGACACCATGAGATATGAGAGCAAGAGGTCCCAAGAGTTCTCACTGGCCAAAGAGAAAGCAGGATGTTAGTTCTGGGAAGGCCCAGAGTTCTCTGATCCAAGCCTTACCCAGGTTCGCCCTAACCCAGTTCCCTTCCTGACTACTTGCAGCCATAATGAGCCCACTCCTTGCCTGCCCCATTCCCAAAGCCAAAATCTCCCTTCAGCAAAGAAACTTAACTCAGAGCTAGGTCCACTCTCAGAATGATCCAGGCAAGACAGATGCAGGCCACTCTCTGGGAGGCCTCCTTCTTCTGAACAAACCAAGAGACAGGGACTTCAAAATGAGCCACTGAAGAAGGTAAGAGGAAGGTCCTTCCAGTACCTTCCATCTTGGGGTGCCCCCAAATAGAAAGTGACTCCACCTTTGGCCTTGCCCCTGCAAGCAGGATAACTGTCTATATTTTAATAAGCATTTTAGGAGCCCTGCTGGGAAAGGTGATACTGCAGGTTATGTATGGGCAGTGAGCGACGTGATCCTACAAACCAGGACCCCAAAGCTCCCTAGAAGCAGGAGCTGCCCGCACCCTATTAACAAGAGCCATCATTCACCGAGGGGTCACTCCCTGCCAAGCGCTGAGCTAAGAATTTTCCATATACCAACTCATTGGTATATGAGATAAGGCCTATCATTACCCTCCTTTGCAAATGAAGAAACCCGAGGCTCAGAAAAGTGACTTGACAAATAGCCTGAAGCAGAGCCAGGATAGGAACACGGGCTTTCTGACCTCAAAATAGTATTTATCCACTATGCTCTACTCCCTATAAACCTGAAAACTTTCAGAGGGAATTCCTCTAGCGGTATAGAATCTAGAGGCCACAGAATCCACAGCACTGGTTAAAATTCATCTGGCTCCTTTTGGATAAAGGAGAGGGTAGGAGAATTATAGAAATTTGTCCCAAAGTCAGATTCCAGACCAAGTCCTATACTAAAAAATAGCAAGCCTTAGGCAAATCTCATCTTTCAACTTGGCTTCCCCCCTTCCACTGTAAGGCTAAGCCATCTGCTTTATCCACACAGTATCATTTGCAAAGGGAGGAATGTACCTCAATAGTCTGGTCAGTATTGCTCAAGACAGCAGGAAGTACATATGAGGACAGGTAGAATGCTAGACTGATCTGGGAAGTCAGTCTCCATGGAGCACGTAGGACTTAAGATCCCTCCTTGAATGATGGGGGGGTTGGTGTAATTTTAACCAATGGAGTTTGAGTTAAAGAAAAGAAACGGTGCGAGAAAGGGGAAAAGGGACAGGAAAGCAGGTGCACATTTGTAAACAGTGAGTTTCCAGTGTGGTTAGAATATAGGTGGGTGAGAGATAATTGAGGATATGGCTCTGAGCTTTGCAGAGAGCTTTGAAAGCTTCTAAGAAGTTTGGACTGTACTGGGTAGATCAAGGGCAGCATCAGGTGTTTGTAAAAAGGGATGTTGTGGGATCAAGGCAGGGCCTCAAAAGGAATCTGCACAGCATGGGAGACACCAAAGGGAGAGGTGCTAACACAGCATCTCACTCAGTTGGCCAGAGCAGACACAGGGACACAAACCTGAGGACTGCAATATGTGGAACTGACTGAACTTGCAAGTGAGGGGACCACCGTGCGGGCCACAGGGGAGGATGATCACCAGAGATGACCAGGGTGTAGGACCTGAGAGGAGGAGGAGAGCAGTTCACTAGTTCCGGGGAGTCAGAAGGTCTGAGAGAAAGCTGGAACCGCAGCCTGTAGCTCAGGACAAACAAGAAAGAGACAAAGAGCCGGAAAGTGATATTTAAAGTAGTGGGAGGTGAGACTGTTAAAAACTGAGCCCAGCGAGAAGCACCTGAGTGGCGAAAGCACCTTTGCAAAGTCAGGCGGGCCCCCAAACAAGACATAATTATCTCTGTCATTTACACCTGCATGGGGCCACGAGGCCTGGGGCTGAGAGAGGCTAATGCCTCCCGCACATCCGTTCCAGCTGGGAGGAGGGCGCCCGTGCCTCCACTTGTTGCAAAGAACAGCCGAGGTCAAGGCCGGCCGGCGCGCTGCTGCCTGGGTCCGAGGCCGCTTTAATCATTCACCTGCTGGTTACGGGTCGCGGCTCCTCCGGGGCCCCGGCTCCCTCCCGCGCCGGCGGCATCCGGAGGAGGCTCGGCGTCCCGTTTCCTTCCTGCTCCGCCGCTCCTCTGCACGCGGGGATCCCTCCCCCGCCGCACTCCGCGGAAAGCGCACTCGACCCACCGGGACGCCGCCCGTACCCCACTCGCCCAGACCCCGGGACCCCGCTCCTGCGCCCCACGGGAAACTTTGCTTCCGCCCCCCACTGCCTTGTACCTCCTGGTAGGATGTGGAGAGCTCCTGCCGGATCATGGCACTGACCCGAGCTAAGGTACACCTGAGACCGCTACGGCCCGGGAGAAGCGGCGGGGCGAGGACTGCGGCCGCAGCGCCTGAAGCTGCCGGCTCCGCGAGGCGAAACCGGTTCGGAGGTGCGGCCCCGAGACCAGGCGGGGCGGCACTCGGCGCATGAGCCTCGCTCCCGGGGGAGCCGCGGAAGGTTGCTGGGAAATGTAGTTCCGGGCGAGAGGCACCTCTCAGCAACTCCGGAGCGGCAAAGCCTGCGCGCTACCCAAAGCCACGTTTAAGCCAGGCGTTAGACTCACGTGCTCTCATCTCCCACTTCCTCTGTTTGTTAGAGGAGGAGGGACGGAGCAAATGAGTGGGAAGTGGAATAAAGAGGTCAGGTCAGATGAGTGGGAGAGCCTAATCTATAACTGCAAGAGGCAGTCTGGTGGATTATAACCATTAATAAATGTCTGCAGAGCACTTTGTATATTACAAAGCACTTTCATTCATATTATGCCCTTGATCCTGCAAGGAACCCTGTGAGCCGTAAGTTTTGCTCCCTGTCTTACAGATAAAGAAACTGAGATACCTTGTTTCGGAAAGGATTTGGGCAGGGCAGTAATGAAGTGTTTTTTCGTTTCGTTTTGTTTTGAAATGAAGATTATTTAATCCAGGAAGAGACTACAGAATCCAAGTACTTTCCATTATTCCTACGACAGACAGTTGGAGTCAGGACCTCTAGTTTCTTGTCCTGGCTCTGCCCCTCTCCCGCAGGTCTTTTTTTTTTTTTT